AATACGCATCATAAGGGACCTATGTGCTTCCTAAGTTGCCAAGTATTAATTATTGTTTGATGATTGGTCTAAAACATTCAATACAACCAGTAAAAATTAACTGTCCCCTGCGAGATTTGAACCCCCGCTCGCACAAAAAGTGACATTTACCCGACGTCAGAATGGTGTCTCTGCTGACTGAGCCATCTCGCCGTATGAGAGCAACGGGAGAAAATAGAACAGTTAAGTGATCTCGGACGCTGAGCGGGGCTTCACAAAAGACGACCTTGAGATTTCGGCAGTTCGGCCACTGGCGTCATAAGAGACATCGGATTAAAGCGCATTACTCTGTGAGACATTGATTACCTATGCTGTCATATGTCACAAGGTTCATCTCAGTATGGATTTGCGATCGCGGCAGTAAGCTGAGGCAATATTTCTGTATTCATGGATTAAATCCATCAATCGAGTTCTGATTTTGGCTCATATATCCGTAGCGGGTCCTCCAGAGCAATTTTCCACCTTGTACGATGGTTATTATTTCTTTATATCTATGTTTAAAATTTGAGGTGGGATAATGGCGGCTTCTCAAGAACACCGAGGTAGGCGATCTTTTGCACCAACGAACAGAAAACTGATGGCGAAAAATAACCAATCAGAACCTCCCAAAAAAAAGAATTTGCCTAAAAACGGAACTTCGTGGTTCTGCGCAGATTTACCAGTCAGACACGACATCTTAAGGTGGAAAAAAACTCGCTGAAAGCGAATTTTAGCAATCAACACAACTTGACGTAGAGACATGATTGGCTAAAAAACACAACGGTTTTTGATACATCGGAAAATCAACCAAAAATCGGAGACTGGGCGAAACGCTCAAGGTCGCAGAGGTATAGGGAATCCCATAGCGAAAGCAACGGAACGATTCTAATATCATGGGGAACTCCGTTCCCATGACAAAAAGGGGCTAAACTTGGCGAGGCTCTTTGGCAATAGCTGTCGTGGCTTGGTTCAGTTCGACTTGGTGCGATCCAATTGGAGGAGCTTCGAAAAATGCATTATGAAATAGACAATTTGTGCGAACTTTGAGTAGAATGTGGTATACTGCAACTCTACATAAATGGATCTTATCAAGGAATTATAATGATTTGCCAAAGCAAAAAAGTACAAAATAAGGAGGGAAAAATTACTGTGATTTTGAAAAATGTAAAGGATGGTACGAACCTACCTTAAATTTTACGTAGGTATATCACAAAATATTTTAATTCGTATTTTTTAATTTTTGCAGAGGCGAATCATTGAAATTCCATGTGAGGATCCGTTTACAGAGTTAATACGTAATTTTCCTCGTAAGCAAAATAGTCTATTTCATGATGCATTGTTCAAGGTTTCTTTAAATATCCCTTAATCATCAGTGTAAACTGTATGAAATCTCATCATAGCACCAATCAAGCACCTGTGACCAGCGCAACTGAGGCATTGATTGACAAACTAGTACGAAAACTTTTCAGACTTGTGTCTAATGTAACTTAATTGTGTACTTAAATGTGTCTTAAATGTAACTTAAATACTTATATGTTTTAATGTATACTTAAATGTGTCTTAAATGTAACTTAAGTGTGTCTTTTGTAACTTAATGTTAATGTGAATTTGATTCATTGCAGGGGGATGCTCGGCGTTCGGGCATAGCTGTTTCGGAGGCCACGGGAAGCGATTCGACCCCGAGGCCATGGAAGTCGGCGCGGGGGCCGCAGCGGCCATGGCCGATATCCTCGACGACCAGACGACCAGGGACAGAGACAGGGACCGGAACAACCGGGATCAGGACCTGGGACTCTTGGCCAGCATCGCCGCTCCCAGGGATCTCGCCACCGCGTCTGGCAATTCTCAGAACATTCTCAAGGCCTTAATGGACTGCCAGGCCATCAAGCAGATGTGTGTGACGCAGGCTATTGGAGTTTCGAAGGTGAGACTGGATGGGTATCGTAAATGAATGCTGTCGTGCTATATACACTGAAAAAAAATTCTCGGCGTTTTTACCAGGTCCGTTGGTACCTTTACCATCTCACTTTTTTTACCAATTTTTGGTAATTTTACCAAGACAGACTGGTAAGCTTACCTTAAAACCGGTATTTTTACCGTTTTTTTCAGGTAAGAATACAACTTTTATTGGTAATCAATTCCCGGTAACTTTGCCATTTTATCTCGGTAATGGACCACTAGACAGGGTACGAATTTTAGCACTCTAATACATATTTCTGAACCAAAATTTCGCGTAGAATACGATTCGCGCAACAAAAGTTTTTGAAACCAACTCTTAGCGAAGATATTAACGTTTTTATTTCACATCAGTTACGAGGAATTTGAACTGGCCGCTCACAAGAAACTCAAAGCTCTACGTGAGTCAAATCGCGCACTACAATGGTTTCAGCAAGCTTCTCAATCGAGCAATGTTCATTTCCCACCATGTGTTGTTCAAACTATAAGCAATTTGCTATAGCTGAGCCAAAGCGTCAGGACTGAGGTTGCCAGATTTATATATCGCTGAGTTGTTGATGATAACGTTAAGCGTGCGATGTGAATCACGTAGAGCATTGAGTTTTCATGAGCGGGTGGTTTCAATTCACGCATCGAGAATCATTGAATATCTTCGTAAGGAGTTAATTTCGGTAATTTTCGTTGTGCGTATCGTGTTCTACGTGAAATTTTGGTGAAGAAACATGTATCAGAATGCTGAAATTCGTACCTTGTCTAGTGGTCCATTCTACCACAGTCGATGGAAAATATTGGCGTTTTTACCAAGGTCCAGTGAAGTTACCGAGAAAGTTCAAAAATTTTACCGAGATTTCTCGGTAAAATTACCAATTTCATAAACGGTAATTTTACCAAGTAAAAACTGGGATCATATAGAACCCTAAATTCTTGGTAATTTTACCCTTTTCTTAGTAAATACACAGAGATTTTTTTTCAGTGTAAGGAAGAACGCCGCACGGTGTATCGAGTCAATATGAGAGGTCGGACAAAATTTGGAAACTTCAAACGCTTATAACTCCGATTATACAAAACTTTGAGGTTCTAAAAGTGGAGCCTTTGGTTTTCTCGTGAATTTTTCTTTTAGGAGCACCCCTTAAAATTTAAAATGTGACGAAACAAACATCAAAATTTGCAGTTTTAGTCAACATTTCATATCCGACCTCTTTGACAGACTCGATCCACTGTGGGGGCGTAACTCTATTTCAAAGGTACAAAATTGACTTCCAACAATTTCATTCTTCACAAGAAAATGACCATGCAAATTCTGTCAAAAGTTTTACTAGGTTTTGCGTGTAATTAGGGGAACAATCATTGAAATTTTCGGGAAGAAACGCTCGATAGTTTTTTGGTAAAACTGCGATTTGCTAGTAGGAATTTCGCAATGTCGAAACTTAGTTACGTTTTTCTGTCTGGAGAACGACGGCTGAAGTGAAGCTCACGACCTCATCACTCACAGCGAAAAGCGCGACGGCGAAAGTTGTCTTTTAATGTGGAGTCGTTTAAGTTTCGCTTTTATTTAAGTCAATACAAACATAATTTCCGCCCTTGGAGCGTCTCCTTCGGGGAAGTCATAAATTTAAAATCCCGAGACCGGAAACGGAAAGGGTAACAATTTACGGAAGGGGATGACACTCGAGACGAGAGGTGGAAATGCCCGCACAGAAATCTGCGCCATCATTGAAGAAGCGGACGTAAATTTATTCAGACTTGCGGTAAAAGTTGAAAGTTCTTTTTGAATTGAATCGTTTTCAGTCGCACAGTAGGAGTAGACGGAACCACACTTTTTTTTTTAAAGAATGGGGCAGTACTCTGCTCTGCTAAGGAAAAACGCCGTATGAGCCCTCAGACGTTGCCAAATTTCCTCCTGTAAAAATAGAATTTCCTGAGAAAATAGTGATTATTTGTTTTCAAAATTTTCACACAATTTTGTACGTAATTTAATCTAAAATATCTGAGAGTTTGAAGGAAAAATAAGCATAACTTTCCTAAAAAAAAAAAATTAAGGTTTTGTTCGGGAAAATTTGGCAACTCTCGAATGTTCAAACGGCGTTTTCCCTTAGCATGGCAGTACTGCCGTGATAGCAAAGAGAGCAGTAGGTGTCAAATTTTCAAAATCGAGTTTCCTTCAAAATTCTTCTAATCTCTTTTACATGAAATTACTGAAATGCTAATACTGCAAAATTCATCTTAATTTTATAAAAACGACACATGAGAATGCCGCAAGTATGCAAAAAATGGCGTAGTTTCAGACAAAACAGCAGAGAGTGACATTATTCCTCCAGAAGGCCAATGGAATCAGTGCTTTCAAGTAAAGTACCGCCCTCTTCTGCCGACTTCTAACCTGAAAATGTATTTGTTGTGTGTCCAAAACGCAACCACGAAAGGATGCAGAAGATAGCACTTACGGCTGTCTAGCCCAACACTGGCCTAACATGAAAATGAAAAATACCCTTTTTACGTAATTGAAATAAAATTGGTCGTTTTTTAATCATCGAAACGATTTCTAGGAGACTAGAAATGCCCACTTTTGGTATGAATGGTGGAGTATCGCACGAAACTGAAGGCGCTTTCAACTGGCTTCGACTGGGCTCCTTAAGCTTTCCTTCATAATTTTTCTGTTGAAAATTTTACGTGGGAAATGATCCTTAAAACGGGAATATGGAAATCATTTCTTCAAGAGGATATAATACTGAATAATAAACATTAATTAAATGTAAAAAGTACGAGTTACGTCACCCATGCGATCCTGTTCCGTTTGATCAGTATAAGGAGTACAAAGTACACATTATTAATTCGGCTAAGGTTCATTCAAACCGCAATACACATTTTTTAAGGATTATTGATGCAATTTTGTGTTTGTGTTTGGACTTTTTCTAGATCAAGCGACCATCTGACACATCGAGTTACAATACGGAATTCAGTGACAACTATCATTGATGATCAACTTCGTCAAGACGATACAGTAGCAGCCGAGCGGTGTAAAAACTGTTGTTTTGTTTGCGGTCTAGCAATTGTTGTAAATAAACCCTGCCATTTCAAAAAGCCTCGTTAATTCTTACCAACACACCCGTTTTAAATTGGTCTAAGATTTGTGGATAAACGAAATTCCGGATGTTACGGATTTATTGAGAAAAAAAATGTCCCTTTTCAATTATTTTTTAGTTTCACAGGGTGATTCGAAAGTCCCGCACCAACGCTATAAATGCTAGGTTTCTTGCCTTTTTCGAGGTTGGTTCCTTTTGAAATTTTGGGGGCTTCAAAAAGGCGTTTCCTTTGACTCGATTTCGATTTTTCTGAAGTTATGGGAATGATGTCTGGTGCTGCTTGTAGGCGAGACTTTTGAATCATCTTATATGCCATTCGATGATATGGAAATGGAGGGATTGTTGAGTCAGGAATGATTACGAACAGCCGTTAGAGAATTGAATTTTATATTTATATTATTCATAAATATTTACATTAATTACAAACATAGAGTCTATTAGAAGGTAACAAACGATAGGTAAATTTACACGAGACTTTGAGTCTGTGAGCAAACATAAAAGCTCCTATGAAAGAGTTGCAAGTACCAATTTTTAAGTCTCATTTGGTACTCACGAGGAAAGTTTAAAGTGAAAAAAGGTTTAAACATTCGATTAAATGAAAATACGTTCGATTAGAAGACAGAGACTAAAAAAAAAAAACAAAAAAAAACCAATTGAATAAAGTACTTTGCTTTTGTATTTTTTTTTCAAACTGATTCAAATTGCATGGTTTGAAACGAAGACCTATTCTCTAAATTCTCTTCACACTAATGCGTAACTATTTCAAGTAAGTATTAAACGAAGAAAAAAAGATTAACGATTAAGAAAATAGAATTTTCACGGGCAAAAACAATTTTCAACATCAGACAGTACATGGCGCTGTTCTGAAAATTTTAAATTTAGTCAAGTGGTTAAAGAGGAGGACAATTTCCAATTCCACAAATCTTTCTTGTAGAAAAATCAATGAATTTTTCTCTCGTACATCTGAACCAGGCGAGTGGTGGCAACGCACTGAACACAATTCATCAGAATTTCTTGCAATAATTTAATTTTAAAAGGAAAACCGCATCATATCATACTTTGAAATTCTTCTTAAATTGTCATTTTATCTTATTTGGAAATTCTTTAAAATTTCAAACGTAATAATGGGCGCTTTCTATGAGTATGCGAAACAATAGAAGAAAATTTCAAATTTATAATATGAGACGTTACGATTAAATTTTTCTTGTTTCGCTTAAATACTCTGCATCGAATTGTAAATATTCTTAAGAGACATCACAAGATGGTAAGGAAAAATTCAAAATTTCCTTACTTTCCTAAATTAGCACAAAAAGATGGCTAACTTGTCACTCTGATCTCACTTGGAGTAACCTATTTACCTTTCTTGAGAGCTATTTTAACCTGCCAAAGGCGGTGTAAGCATTTAAGCAACAATAAAATTGATCATCGAATTACGAATTTGTTTTGAGTGTCTAGCGCATGGTACGAGTAGGATTGTATGGATATAATTTTCATTTAGTATCCTCTTATTTGACTTCAAATTTGTTTTTTTCTTTTATTTGACCCAAAAGGGTAAGTTTGATTTCAATTTAGAATGATTCGAATGATTCAAAAGAAAACAGGAGGGTATGGTCATTTGGATCATCACGATGTCTTCAACTATATAAAGACAGAAACCTTGGAGCAAAGATTTTCTAACGATAAAAAAATACAAATAAAGAATGTGAGAAATTTAGCACAGTGTCGAAGAATGATATGTAAAATCACGATAAAAATAAGTAGAGGGCTTAGCGATTAGGGGAAAATCAACATTCATTTTAACTATACTTTTTACAATGTACATTGATTTTAAACGAAGAGCATTTTTACAGCGATGAATTTTTCTTAGAAAATCTTTTCCACAGCCTTCAAAAAGAGGGATACATAGTTTACACATACTTACAACAAAGCTTTAAAAATGAAGGTCTTCTACAAGTACAAATTCTCCACTTCCAACGCATATCTGTGAAATTTCTCGAAAAATGTTGGTGCCACTCACTATGGAGACTATGAGACAAGGTTAGAAATGAACCACTGCAAATCGCTCCCCAAAGAAATGCCTCACCCGGCGATATTTTAAACGGGCTCGAATCATATTTTTTTACGTAAGAAATCAACTATTTCTTCAAAATATCATGCTTCACATTATGATGCAGTAGGTGGACACCCTGCCTGCTGACTTTATAAATTCAGGACGGAGATGGTTTTTGGTTCATACATCTAAAGTCAACAAAATAATTTCGTTCTTCATCGTGTATATCGACGGTGTAAGTCGGCAATCACATAACTCGTTTGCGGTGTCTGAAAATCTCCGCCTCTATGTTATTTTTTTAAAGGAGAACAAATTGATATAATTCCTTGAAGTTTTTGCAGAATTTTCCTCTCACAGAGAAGAAAAATCACGGCATTTTTAAAGAATTACCGGTTAGTAGTTATACGTTTAAATAATAAAGTATGACAGGAAGTCTGCGACGTCGCAAACCGAGTTATATGATTGCCGACTTACACAGTCGTTATATAGTTTGCCTATTTACCGCAAAGACATAGAACAATAAGATTTCTAGACTTGGAAACTGAGAGATATTAATTCCTCTTCAAAAAGGTTCACGAGGATACAAAAACTTATATTTTCTTCTTTTGGACTAGTTTTTGGCACATTTAATCCGTAAAACGCAAAGGAATCTGATAACTGTTTAACAAGTACTGTCAAACGCAGGTATAATATCTCCAAAAAACTTACACGAAGAGAGGCAAGTAGTTCGTGTTCAGCTATACGAGGAATTACGTTTATGGGACGAATTTAAAATTGATTAGATACCATTGAGAAGAAGGGATCTCTCTACAGAAATATTTTAAAAATACAGCGCAGATGCGCGGTTTTTCCGAAGTCCGTACACAGACACATTCCGTCTATTTGATGACATCAGATTCAGATATGCACAAAAAAAAACAAAACAAAAACGACAACAACCCGTAATATACTTTCTTTTGTCAGAAAAAATCGTCAATTTTTGGAATAATTTTTTCTCAATTTGTTAGCCCTCTTGGAGTATGTTTGAGAAATGCTAGATTCAGAAAAAGCGCTCTTCGACGGCACAAAATAACAATTCATAAAAATCCCTAGCTTGTTCCATGTGCTTTTAATATCATTGCTTGATCATAAAAATGCATAAAACACAATTTCTACATCCCATAAATAACTGAAAAAATAATAAACGAAAGACGATTTTTTTTTGTATTTTTCATTTTTTTTTCTTAAGCCAGCGTTCTCCCCTTTTAACTGAAGATCCTGCAAAGAGGATGTGACCGAATTTTTTCGCGAAAAGATGGTACTTTCATTCTTCACATCATAATATCTAGTGACGAGGACAATTTGTTGGCTATCTAGACGTATACACACATACGGACGATGACATTAGAAAAATTTCATTTTCAATTTTTGAGAAATGAAGGAATCACAGCCCTGCTTGTAACAAGTAATCTACACAATTTTACACCCTTAAATGTAGTTTTGGCAAGAGAGGCTCAACTGAGCCTGAATATACTTATTTACATAATGTAAGCTTATATTCTAAAATCTCGAAACATTATTTCGAAAATTTGCTGCTCAAAGAAATTTCCCGATTCTGAGAGAGCTAAACTAATCAGTGGCGTGGCGTGAGTTGCGATGTATCGATCGTTATGCCATTTAAACCTATGGTAAAGAATCGATTATAAAGACGTTCGCTGCGAACACTCCCTTTATCGATCCTTTTCCATAGGTTTAAATGGCATTACAATCGATACATCGCAATTCACGCCACGCCACTGAAACTAATTCGATTTACATCGCGGTAAATACTTTTAGTGATGCAATGAAGCCTCTTGCTCCTGTCTCAAAACTTTCAAAGGAATATAATTAAAGATACGAAGCACTTTCCGAGCTCGTGGTTACCCTATCGGAAAGAAGGGCTAAAACCTTGAGAACTTTTTGCGATCAATTGAATACAAGCCTCAACGAACACACTTACGAAAATGCTTCCTTCATAAGACTTTGTATTACTAAGATTTCGTTCATTAGTTTACATTGATGTACTAATTATTTTTTATTTTTCACTGTACAACGAGCTAAAAAGTTCATCTTGACGTGTAGACCGTTTGTAAGCCAACACTCACAATTTCAGAGTTTGTTAGCAATATTTTGAAGAACTCCTGGCATTTCACTGGGAAGAAAAACACATTGGATCTAGAGTCCAGACTCTTGGAAACATTGACAGGAAAAAATACTCTTGATTCAATCGGATTTTTGCTTGAATCAAAACGAAATCCGCTTAAATTAAGAGGCTTGGTTCTTGATTTAAGCTAGATTCTGATTGAATCAAGGGTACTTTTTCTTGTCGATGTTTTAAAGAGTCTGGACTCTGGATCCAATGTGTTTTTTCCAGTGAAGGTTTTAATGTATTGAACGATTTAACGATACGATTAAAAGTTCTGTAGCATTCACAGGGAAATCTTGATTCGGATTGAGAGAAATTTTCCTCCGAAAGAAGTGTGAACGTATCGAAGATTCTGTCCCAGATAAAATCATCCTAATTTTGTCCAGCCATTCGCGCGATTTCCTACGGAAAATTGAGATGATAGATTTGCAATCGTCGGGGGTTGTAAGTTAATTATCTTCCATGACGTGACATTCATCATTGAAATGAGAGTCAGGTAACATGAATATCATCTCCCTGTCCTGGAAAACATTTTTGGCTATTCCCTCTCTCTCAAAATCATTAATTTGGAAAGAATTTAGTATCATCCTGGCTTTTGGTTCATCCACGAGTACCACTCTATCATTACAGAGACGCTGTTATGTTTCGTCTTCGTAATGACTGCGTTATTGATCTCAAGTGTTTGATTTTGATGTGACAGAATGTGACTACTAGATGGACTGCACTTTGCAATTGGGACCTACTAATTCAGGTTCATCCATAAAAACACCTATCTGCACATGAAATCTAAGGGCACAAATGTTGTTTATAAAATGAGCCAGAAAAAGTAGTTCCTAATTGCACGAATAAACCAGATATATCAGCATACGATTCAACGCTCTCGTAGGAATTACGAATGGTCATTGAACCGCGCGTCTATCATTGTAAGAAAAATGAGTGATCTACAGGGAGGCTGTTGACAGAAAGAGTGTATCTACAGGCTCACGAAAGGGGTTAGTTCCGACTTTTGTCAATGTCGATGAATTTTCAAGGGGCAAATCGTCGGAGAAACGAAGGGCAGGAACACGATATTTTTCGATCGGTTCCAGATTGAATTTCACGGTTCGTTGACTCCGTAGTTTGAGCTGATTTCAAAGCCCCTGCTGTCAAATAGATGCAGCCACCCGGGAAATTCGGATGATGACGATCGAGTGACTTGGTGACGTAGACTTGGCACCGCCCTCTCTAACATTAATTATCGCCCTGTCAAAAAATGTCGTTCACCTTGACTGTCGGGGGTGGAGATGGCGAGGGTAGCTAACCTCTTCTTCCTCCTCTTGAGGCGTGTAACACGCAGAGGCTAGACTGATATCATTCATTTGCTCACCTCCCGTCAGGGTGACAAGACACCTCATTTTTATGAGGAAATGATCGAGGCAAGTCACCTTTTCATCTCCTCGTTAACAACAAAAACGATAGAAAAAAATTCAGCGAAGATATCAACACTATCGGAGCGTCGATTCGCTCGAGGTTGAATGTCCGCAATAGGTACTAACCACAATTTTTAATATCCCCAAAAGATCCTGTTCTGCCCGAATTGTCAAAATTTTCAAATTTATGTATGCCTAGGCCCTTGGCTTAGACGAGCTGTTTCGGCTGAAACTTGATCTGCACTAGTCATATTCATGTAGGCGAAAATGTCTAAACTATACAAATTCGTCCATATAATCCATATTTGTCCAAAATAAGATTTTTGATCAAAATATCCAAGTTTTTCCAAAATAAGATTTAAATTTGATCAAAATTTCCAAATTTGTCTAAAATGGTACTTGAAGCAGTCTATTAAAACATTCAAAACGTCCAGTTCTGTCCAACTGGTCAAAATGTATTTGTGCTGAGGTTTGTGGTTCAGAAGAGCTGCTCAACAACTGTCCGGAGTATCCAAATCCGTACAAAAAAATTTAATTTCACTGGAAAAAAACACATTGAATCTAGATTCCAGACTCTTAAAAACATCAACAAGAAAAAATACTCTTGATTCAATCAGATTTAAACTTAAATCAAAAGGAAATCCGCTCAAATTAAGAGGCTTGGTTCTTGATTTAAGCTTAGATCTGATTGAATCAAGAGTCCTTTTCCTTGTCAATGTTTTCAAGAGTCTGGACTCTAGATCCAATGCGTTATTTTTCCAGTGTTGAACGAAGTATCAAAATTTGTCCAAAATGGGCATTTGAAGTCGATTAAAACATCCAAAATGTCCAGTTCTGTCCAACTGGTCAAAATCTATTTTTTTTTAAATTCACGCATGCCTAGGCCCGTAGTTCAGACGAGCCGCTCGGGCTGAAACTTGAGCTGGACTAGTCATTCATATTCATTTGGGTCAAGTGTCCAGACTCCAGAGTATCAAAATTTGTCCAAAATAAGATTCAAATTCGATTAAAATAACCAAATGTGTCCAAAATGGTATTCGAAGTCGATTAAACCATCCAAAATTTCCAGTTCTGTCCAACCGGTCCAAATCTATACTTTTAAAATTTACGTATGCCTAGGCCCGCGGTTCAGACGAGCTGCTCGGGCTGAAACTTGAGCTGGACTAGTCATATTATGCTGGTCTGCTCGGTCTCGGGGCCGAGGGCGAGGACCTTGCAGTCGGTGTCGTTGGAGTTGATGCGGTTCTGCCGGAGGGAGGCGATGGAGGAGCGCGGCGAGACGGACTTGCCGTTATGCTTCCCGTGCTCGGGCGGGTGTGGGTGGGGGAGGGGGTGCGGTCCGCCCCCGCGCTCCGTCCCCGTGTGGATGATGGAGCCGTCCGACTGGCGCTGGGCCCGCCGGGCCTCGTAGCCGTCCACCGAGCGGTAGCCCTTGCAGCAGCAGTACGGCCGGTAGTGGGTCGTCAGGATCCGCCGGAAGGCGTCCCGGAACTCCGTGTTGAAGATCGAGTAGATGATCGGGTTGAACGCCGAGTTCGAGTAACCTAGCCAGGTCAGCACCTTGAAGTAGATCCCTGCAACAGATACCAATGTTATATTCCATTTGTCTTCATTGTTAACACTTAGAGACCGTTCAAGTTTTAAAAGAATTTATTCCAATTTTTGACCCCCCCCCCTTTTAACGCACCCGTAACGAAGCCCTACACACCCCTTTTGAATTACGTAACGCTGGTCTGACCCTCCCCCCCCTCACAATTTTCAAAAGAAAGCGGATAGGACCATTCTGTCTTCTTCTTATTTTCATTATCAATGGCTTTGTCTATCAACTCTACTAGTCAAAGGAGTTGATACTCAAAAGATTTTTCCATCAAACCCAAAAAATCATATTTTTCGATTCAACGCCGAAAAACTCGCTTCCTTGGAAATGCTGCCTCTATGCACTAATGTCTTTTGTCTCTTCTGCCCCGAAGAGTCTTCTTTTTTTGATATTTAAGGAAATACGTGTTTAAATTTGCAAAATTACATGGATCCTTATGTCGCGAAAGGAGGCTTAAACTCACATTTTCACGCTTTAAAGTTGGATTTAAGTCGTGTTTTTTTCATGGAATATACATACAAACTAGTTTTCGTTGAGTTCATGAATATCTCAATTTTTCAAAAAAACTGCACCTATGCGCTTCGTCCTCCAAGCCTCTCGTTTGGACTTCATTTTGCGATTAGAAACTACGATTCCCGCTCATCCGTAAAAAAAAATATGTGCATAGGAAAAATAATGGTGCATACGTTACCCAGTTCTTTCTAAAATGAGCAAGAAATTCTCTCTTCTTCTTTCACTAACGACTAGGGCATAGCCCAGTTTGTCAGGCCATTCAGTTTTGAGCATAGTAAACCACATAAATATTAAAAATCTAAAAATCACTAAAAATAATTAACTCGTCAAATCTATGAGAACAGAATAAAATCTGCAATCATCCTCAGGAGAAGAGAGCCAGCTTTGTGTCCAAGCAATAAATTGTGGTTTCTAATTGCAAAATGGAGTCATTTAATGGATATTGCCGAAAAAAGTGGAAAGCTGACCTACCTGGAATACAAGTCTTGCAGAAGGACACAACAATATTGATACAGAAGAATGGCACCCAGCAGAAGAGAAACGTGCCCATGATAACACCAACAGTGATGGCCGCCTTGTGATCGGAGACGTGGTACGGCGACGACGCGTGGTGGACGGGCGGGTGCGGCGCGAGCGGCGGGGTGTTGGTGAGCGGCCGCGTGACGGCCCGGATGTTCTTGACGTGCTTCTGGGCGTAGCAGTAGAGGCGGCAGTAGATGCCGAGCATGACGATGCACGGCACGTAGAAGGAGATGCAGGAGGAGACGATGGCGTAGGTGGGCGTCAGGTCCAGGGCGCACGTCGGGTGGAGGGACGAGTCCGAGTCGTCCTTGACGAACGTCGGGTCCGGAGGCCGGTGGAGCCCCAGCGAGATCGGGAGGAAGGAGACCAGGGCCGCCAACAGCCAGATGCAGCCGATGCTCCCGAAGGCCACTCGCTTCGTCACCCATCGGCTGTACCTGCAACACGCAACCACCCACCAAGTGGACGTTAATCAGAGACAAGAGACCCTCCACTAGCCTCCTAGCGACAGGTGGAAAATATTACTTTCGGGGATTCAACAGTTCCTTATGGACAATTATTAGGGAGCAAAAGTCATCACCCTAATTTCGGCTGTTGACCTACCTACATAGTCGATGATGAGCTTCGGGTGACGTCATAAGTCAAACAAGTTCCCCAAACGTCGGCCATTTTCGGCTTGTTTGCAAAACAAAACTACCAACCTGTTGTTAAACATCAACCATGTAGGTAAAGTCAACAGTAGAATGCTGAAGTCCCGAAAGTAAAAGTTTCCACAATGGCCAAGATACTAGTGGAGGGTCTCTTGTCTCTGACGTTAATACGGCATCATACCCGTAACCCTGGGGAGAAATATCATTTATGCTGGGGGGGAGGAGCACTGGAAAAAAAACCACATTGGATCTAGAGTCCAGACCAGAGACAAAACACCCTCCACTGGCCTCTTGGTGACAGGTGGGATTTTCTACTTTCGGAGATTCAACAGTTCCTTATGGACAATTATAAGGGAGCAACAGTCATCACTCTTTTTCCGGCTGTTGACGTACCTACTCGGTGGATGATGAGCTCCGGGTGACGTCATGAGCCAAACAAGTTTCCCAAACTGCGGCTTGTTTGCGAAACAAAACTGCCAACACCTGGTTGAACATCAACCATGTAGGTAAGTCAACAGTTCAATGTTGAAGTCCCGAAAGTAAAAGCTTCCACCATTGCCGAGATACGAGTGGAGGGTCTCTTGTCTCTGGTCCAGACTCTTGAAAACATTGACGAGAAAAAGGACTCTTGATTCAAGTAGAGTCCCTTTATACTGAGAGTCAAGACAATGTGAATCCATTTCTGATTGGTTCCCGTATTTTAGGCCTTCACAGTGTCACAAACGGGAATAAAGATTACATTTTTGCCGATTGCAAAGATTATAATCTGGAATGGACCAGGGAATTATGGGTTCGGCAAGGAACAAACGGAATGAGAGAAGGAACGGAGAGAGGAATTTAAGAATGAACCGATCAAAGATTACGAAAAACGTTCAATTTCTGTAATCTTTATTCCCGTTTGTGACTCCATGGGGGGTGGGGGGTGTTGTCTTGACTCTCAGTATAAAGGGACTCTAGATTCAAGCAGATTTATGGAGCGCCTTCAATTACGTTTGATACTGTGCAATACTCCGGTGGCGGAATAGTTGCTCAGAGCGCCTTCTACAGTATCGCTTCGACTTGATGGCAGCAGAATACGATTGCCGCTGATATTGCACTCTAACGCGTGCGCAGTTTCACATTTCTCAGTACCGATGGCGAGGTAAAAAGCATTCATATCTCAATTTGCGACGTTGCAACTTTTTCATTGCCTTTTTCGTACGGGTGAACGAATAATTGCCTACGTTTTTCTCGTTTTCTCGGTAGCTTAGGACCTGGAAAAGCCTGTTTCTTTACTAGATTCATCATTATTATTTGTATTGCACTGGAAAAAAAGCACACTGGATCTAGAATCCAGACTCTTGAAAACATCGACAAGAAAATGGACTCCTGATTCAATCAGATTTAAGCTTAAATCAAAAGGAAATCCGCTCAAATTAAGAGGCTTGGTTCTTGATTGAAGCTTAAATCTGATTGAATCAAGAGTATTTTTTCTTGTCGATGTTTTTAAGAGTCTGGGCTCTAGATCCAATGTGTTTTTTTTCCAGTGTGGGGAAGAAGAAACTTTTTTGTGATGGGAGAAACTTTTTTTACGAGGAGCAAAAAGTTTTCTTACAGGGGGAGTAATTTTTTTTGCATCGCTATCAGTGGCGGTTGGGTGTCACAGAGCGCTGTAAGAGTGACTTAGTAGTAGTAGCAACTTTTTTTTCAAAGGGAAAAACTTTTTTTTACGGGGGGGGGGGAGAAATATGTTTGAAAGGGGAAGAGAAAAAGGTTATTTCTCCCGCACAAGAGATACATATTTCCCCCAGTCGCACACAAATATTTTTCCCCCGACCAAGAAAAGCTTTTCTCCACCCGGTACAAAAAACATTTCTCCCCACGAAGTGTGCCTTATGCGTCACCTTGCAGTCAGCGGAAGAAGAATGTTTGCTTGGCAGTGTTGTCAAACCTATAATTAAATCAAAACATGTCGTCGTCCTGTTCCATGTTCGAAAGGAACCGAATGGGATTTCTTGTTGTTTATTTATCTTGCGGGTGTAGTTTGTTTGGTATGTTATTAGTTGAATATGGTAAGTTCGATCAATTTCATCTTGTAAATATTTTAGCCTTGTTGGCAAATAAATATTTTATTCCACATTGGCCACAACTGGTGGAATCAATTTTTAGTAAGAGATGGAAAGTGAAATTTCACGTTTTGAAATTTCACGAAATTTCATAAGGCTCGAATAAATTTCACAAAAGTTGAAATTTATTAATTTTTTTAGAATTATTGATTGAACCTTTGAAGGTCTGAAAGCGTTTCAGATAGTCTTTCTATTGTTGCTGCAGTCGTGTCATGCTACTCTACCTACTGAAGGTGCCAGACACAAAGAGGGGGCAAAAAGGGAAGTTTAGAGAGAAAAACCCCAACTTAACCTCTAAACTAAACGAAAACATTTGCAACGCGCGAATGTTCTAGGCTTGGGGTAAAAAATTTCAAAATTTAGAATCACTGTTTCTAGGCGTTTCTTAGCCTCCTGAATGTATCCCCAGAAGTTTCAATATATTCCATGAAATTTCACGCCTGAAATTTCATTCGAATTAATTTCATGAAATTTTCCATCTCTCTGTATAACGTTCATAAAATATTTTACAGGACTAAAGGAGAGGCGATAAAATGATTTGCTCATCAAGCGAGACGATTAAAATACTTAGGGGGCGTTCGAACGATTTTGAAGATGAATAGATCGTATTCGATACATCACACAGGTGAGATTGTATCGATATCGATTGGTTCAAAACATAAACATAGCCTCAAAAGTCAATTTAGAAATAGGAGGGAACGGGTCTTTTGTAACAGATGTTTTATGTTTGGTTTGAGGTTATGTTCTATCATTTTGAACCAAACGATACATCGAACCATTATCGAAAACGGTCTCGATACATAAAACGGCTGAGATTGTATCGATATCGATTGGTTCAAAACATAAACATAGCCTCAAAAGTAAATTCAGAAATGTAAGAGAACGGGTCTTTTGTAACAGATTTTTCATTCTTTTGAGTACCAAATGCCAATTCAAAGTGAAATTGTCAGGAAATTTCTCATTTTCAGCTCTTCCAACATAAATCCCTACGGTTTGGTTTGAGGTTATGTTCTATTGTTTTGAACCAAACGATACATCGAACCGTTATCGAATACGGTCTATTGAGCTCAATGGGCCTGTTGCAAACTTTTGTTAGAGCAAAAATAAGAGTTGTTTCTTGTAGATAATGCCTCAAAAATCACGATGAGCGCATCGGCAAAGTCTGAAATGCACTCATAACTTCACAATCTGCGTAAGAAATTTGCGTTTTTTTAAGCTTCCCGCTTCAAAAACGATACTACGGCATAGGTGAACATTTTGTTAGAGGAGTCGCTCCATCGTCGGCGATATTCATCATGGCCGACGCTTGCACGCAGTTCCGCGCGTAATTCAAGGAGAGTTCAAGGTCAATCAATTCGGGCGTGGAAAATATGAACGTTAACACACCGATTGTTATCTGGTCTAATCCAGTTCAGGTGTTATCTCGTCCCATCAAACGTGTTTTGGCGGATTGGCGTCGGCTATGATGATTATTGCCGACGATGGAACGACTCCTCTTACAAAATGTTCACCTGTGCCGTAGTATCGTTTTTGAAGCGGGAAGCTCAAAAAACCGCAAATTTCTTACGCAGATTGTGAAGTTATGAGTGCATTTCAGAGTTTGCCGATGCGCTCATCGTGATTTTTGAGGCATTATCTATAAGAAACAACTCTTAGTTTTGCTCTAGCAAAAGTTTGCAACAGGCCCATTTTTCTTCGAGATGGACTCACCTGAGAGGATCCTTGATGTGGATATACCGGTCGAGCGAGATGGCACAGAGGTTGAGTATGGAGGCGGTGGAGCACATGACGTCGAAGGCGATCCAGGTGTCGCAGAACTGCTCGCCGAAGATCCAGTAGCCGAGGAGGTCGTTGACGACGGCGAACGTCATGACGAGGGCGGCCACGAAGAGATCCGCGATGGCCAGCGAGGCCAGGAAGAGGTTCCCGATCCGCCGGAGGCCCCGGTCCGTGTAGATGGCCACGCACACCAGGATGTTCCCGGCGATCGACAGGAAGATCAGGAGCAACAGGAATGTCCCTGAAACCGAATTTCATTGATTCAAGTGACAATACTGGAAAAAAAGTCACGGACTAAATAGAAAGAGACATATCGTCCGTTCCGGGCTCAGAGACCGAAAGTTCCGGGCGCTGAAGCCGTAGCTTCGACTGCTTCAGGCACTACAACCAGAACTTGCGGCACCTGAGCCCGGAACGCCATAGAGTACATAGAGTCGTAATGTAAATGGGAGAGCTGGCGCCACTTTTAAGCATTTTCCAGGTCCTGAACTCCGAGACTCCTGTGTGACGCCGGGTCACTTTTTCGATACATAATCGATTGTTTGCGATACACGGATACCCGGCCATCCGATGACAACAACAACAACAACAACAACAACAACAACAAAAACAACAACAAAGGAGATAGGAATAACCGCGTATTTCACACCGCCATTTTGGATCGAAAATGTATCGAAAAAGCGACCCGAACTCGGCGCACACCGGGCTCGGAATTCGTCGAGAAGAACATGGCGCCAGCTCTCCCATTTACATTTCGACTCTACGTACTCTATGCGGAACGCGGACGGTATGTCTATAAAGCCCCAAGTACGGCTTCCACGGCCGGAGTTTTTTTTCAGTGTACTAGTAAGTTGATAATCATCATTATCATCCTAGGCATGGTTTCACAAAATTGGAGGCTTTTGTGTGAACCGTTGTTAATTGAATTCAGTTGTTTGCCAAATGCAATGCATAACAGAGTTTTGAAAAATCAGATTGTGCCTTTACGGCACGTAAAAAGTAACTTCAAACGTTTTCAAGACCCGAAAGGCCTAAGGTAAAAAAGTTCAAGTTCAAAAAAAGAAGCGTATTTGTGTGAACTTAAAAAATAAGGTGACCAATATGAAAAAATTAAAATCATTTAAAATAAAGTTGATGTTAAAAATCTTTAAAATAACGAAAAACATAAAACATAAAACAAAAAAGGTAAAACTTACTTGATTTTAAAAATCCTTCCTCCGTGAAAAGAAAAATACTGGGGTGAAACACGGGTGTAAAGAACTCACGGCATGAAAAAGAAAATGATAAAAAACGAAAACACAAAATGATGAATACAAATAATAAGAAAAAATTTAAAAATAATTAAAACAAATAATAAAGTAAAGTAAATTGTTGTGAAATCAGAAATTTTTCATCTTTTCTGTTGACACAACCATCAAAGTGATCATGTGTGATTTTTACGGTTATTTATATACACATTTTCGTGAATTCATTCGCTTAATGTAAAGTAGTAGCAGTAGTCGTAGTATTATTAGGAGTTTATTTTCAAGTGTGTCTAAAAGTTTGAAGGTCCTTTTACACCTCTGATAAAAATTAAAATTAGGCAATTTGTATACCTACGATAAATATTGAAAGGATGGTAATTACAAACACAAAGTAACATTTTAAAAAAAGAAAGGGAAAAAATGTGCTGCCAAAAGGGGATAAAATGATATTACTTAGTTCATTTTCCCTGATTCTGTGACATAGGCATCTCAAATTCAGTTCTTATCTGAACGATCCCTCGAATTGTACTTTTTTACAAGTACATATTTACGAGTACATTTTACGAGCACAGAATATTGAAAAGTTAGACTTGGACCGCGTTAAGCAGAAAGGAACTAAGCCACATCAGCTATTGCCAAAAATTGAGCAATTCGATTTGTTACCTTAAAACGGTTATGCGGATTTTTGTGCAGATTTCAGTGAATTTCCTAAATAGTACGAAGCAAATTTCTTAAAATTTTCAAAGGAATCCGCAGAAACATTCTCTTGTAAAGAATTAAATTGCCCACTTATATTTGGCAATAGCTGATGTGACTTGGTTCCTTTCTGCCAAACGCGATCCACTTGTTAATTCTATCCTTTTACATGAAACCCGACGCAGAGGGATTAAACAACGTTGAGCGGGCAACGTCGTAAATCCAAAAACTTATACCGGCCGAAAAGTCAAAAGTTGGGAGCTCATGGCCGGCGGCATTATCACGGAATCCGCGTCAGAGCAGCTGGGTCGTTAAAGCGGGGCGGCCTAGCCGTGGCGCGACGCTACCGCGACGCGGCCGGCGCGGCGGCGACTATAAACAATAAACCCACTCGGAGACAGAAACTATTTGCGAAGCCGGGCCGGGCCGCACATAGCCGGGGACACAACATTTGTAGCTCGTTAGAGCGCATTAACGCCACCGGATCCGCTGCTGAAATTGCACTTGGCAAAGTTAACCACCGCCCGTTATCGCCGCCCCGCTCCGAACTTCCCTCGGACGCCACGCTCTGACGTCACCAACCCCGCAGTTTTGGCGGATTATGGAAAAAGCGACCGGATAACGCTCGTGCGTACCCTGCCGTGCTAAGGAAGAACGTCGTGTGAACTTCATGCGTTGCCACATTTCCTCCACACGGAGAAAAAAACCTCGTGCGTGGGACCCGAAGTTTAGGTCATATGGATCTCTGAAGTTTTCAGATTGAGCATCTGAACACTTTAGGTCTAGCTGTCGAAGTTTGGATCACAAATCTGAACCTTTAGCTCTTACCTCTGAAGTACCTCACATGTGAGAACCGAAGTTTTTCGGATGTGGGAGCCGAAGTTTTTCGGATGTGGGAGCCGAAGTTTTTCGGATGTGAAAACCGAGGTACTTCAGATGTAAGAACTGAAGTTTCAGATGTGTGATCTAAACCTCAGCAGCTGGACCTTAAGTGTTCGAATGCTCAATCCAAAAACTTCAGAGATCCATAGGACCTAAACTTTGGATCCCACGCACGAAGTTTTTTTCTCCGTGCAATAAAAAACGAAGTTATTGGGAAATTTCTACATATTTTCTCTGCAGTTTTTCAGACAATTTTGTTCACAATTAAATCTAAAATATCGGATAATTTCAAGAAAAAATATGCACAACTTTCTTTGAGAACACATGTTCTATTCGCGGAGATTTGGCAACTCTTCAATGTTCATACGGCGGTCTTCCTTAGCACGGTAGTATAGGGAGACTTTTGAAATATATACGACCCGGAGTTCCTCGGGGTGGTTTTCCCGCTTTTATGATGTTGCTACAAATCCTTCCGAAACAGAGGTTTTTGATTCGGGCGTCGTTTTTCCTTTTCCTGCTCGGCATTAACTTGTCTTAAACCGGGAGGAAAGTCCCTTTAATCGGAAACAACACTTTCGAGGGAGTCTTATTAATGGATAATTTTAACCTTAATCTGCCGTGCTGAGGGAGAACCCCGTATGAGCCTTCAGACGTTGCCACATTTCCCTCAATAGAATATCGATGACCAAAGTGTGGCACCACGAATCTCCGTTTGCGACATTGCACAATTTCTGTCATCCTGTGAAAAACTAGTCAGCGTAATTTCTTGAAAACTTCCTTGGTTCTTCTCTTTAAACAGAGTATTCTGTATAAATTTCAAGGTAGAAAGCTGGCTTGTTTCTATAAGCACGAAAAACTAAAATACCAGCAAACATTTTGAAATACAGCGACGGAAGTAAGTGATTTTGCACTTTAGCTGGGTAAATTATGAATATTTTTCGTCCAATTTTTTCCCCCGACTTTGTTCACAATTTTACCAAAAATATCCGAAAATTTCCATGAAAAATATGCATAATTTTCCTCGATAATGGATACTTTTTTGAGGGAAACTTGGCAACTCTCGAATGTTTGTACGGCGTTTTTACTTAGAAACGGCAAAGTAATCCTCTGAATTCTTAACCACTTATCCATTAAAAGTATTACGAGTAAATCATTGTAATTTTAATTAAGTGTCCATTTTTGTCGTTTAATTTGCTAAAATTATACGTGAAGATGCACAATCTGAGCAACATTGCAAAGTCCATGCCTAGTTTCTACAAATATTGGATCGATTAATGTATGACAAGTCTTAATGCGACAAGCGTACTCGGCCGCGGGCAACTATTCGAACTTCTGTGTGTTGCACGGTATCATTTCAAATTGAAGGCGTTTTTCCTTCGACAGTTCCGCGCTTCAGACTTGAACCAATAACCTACTCGATGGCAAAGGCAACAAACGCGGATCACGTAAAAACCAAGCCATCTCCTTAAGATTTAAGATGATTTGTTCCAGTCTTTAACGTGGTCGAACCAGCGCGCGATAAATCGAATCGAAAATGTAAAAAACCTCGGCAGATTTTGAATTTTTAGCCGAAAAAAACGATAACCTCTGCGCATGAGCTTAAATTCACGACCAAAAAACATTGCAAAACTTAGAAAACTAAAGGTGGGATTTTTTTTGAGGGGGGGGGGACTTCGCAATCGATACAGATGTCGAATACTGTATCGAATGCGAGGTTTTCCGCTGCTTTCAATTCGATGAATTTTGCCAATTTTTTGGTTGAGATCGGTTCTTTAGGCTCATGCGCAAAGGTTAGATTTCGTCCTTTTTATAGCTAAAAAGTCAACACCTGCCGAGATTTTTGGTTTCGTCGACGCGATATATCGCACGCCAGTTCGACCACGACAGAACCCGGGACGAACCACTTTAATAAAATTAATTCATCGCTCAACTTCTCCGTCATCTTCGAGACTCAAGGGTTTCCTCGAACGGTGGCGTGGCGTGCTTTGCGATACATCGATAGATCTGTCATTCAAACCTATGGAAAAGGATCGATAATTAGGGTGTTCGCAGCGAACATCTCAATAATCGATTCTTTACCATAGCTTCAAATGGAGAAATATCGATGATCGATCATTCACGCCACGCCACTCTCCTCGAATAGGACTCCCTTCAACTTTATACTCGTACTTGATATTCATACTTGGCAGACGGCTGTTTATTGGCGCGGGTGAATTTGCATAAGACATAATATTCTGATTCATAATTATTCCGGGACAGATTATTGTGAAGTCCGCGAAAATTTCCCAAGTTTCGGGGAGGCTGGGGTCTCGAAGCTGGTTGGGGAGAAGGAGGGGGCAGGGGCATTGTGATTATGCCGGACTCCTGTTGACTCAATAATTTGGAGCAGCTGGGATGAGATGGTGACCACGCTTCAGGCTGCCAGCTGCCAAGTTTAAAGAGTACATTTAATTTGTTTAAAAACTCGTGAACTTCAGACGATAGGATTTATATAATTTTTAAACAATTTAACACGATAGGAATTAGTTACTTTTCGATTTTTAAGTAAAAATACGAATAATTTTTATACTTCAGGCTATATTTCGCCCGTATACCACCATGTTCAACTGATCGAATTTCATGTGCCTTAAAGGTCGGAAAAAATGTTATACTTAAGTATACGACTTGTTAGTATATATTTGTAGCTGTTGCAGCTTAAAATGACCTGTCTTATCCATCACTAACCAATTTTGGGAAAATCGTTTCGCAAAAAAATAACTTTCTTAGCTGATAAGAAGGAGACTCTCTTATGATGGAAGAAAAAATATAGATAATTTTTTGACCCTACGCTATGAAGCACGTGGAAATCCAGTGTCCTAATAAAATCGAAATAATGACAAAAGTTTAATACCTGCGTTAATTTGTGGTGTATATCAATTGAACTACATTTTTCAATTGGGAACTACAATTCCTGGCTCATCCATAAAAATACTTACATGCATAGGAAAACTAGTGTTACAAACGCTGTTCCTGAACTAAGACGGAAATTTTAGTTCATTATCGCAAAATGCGGTCAAATTGACAGGAATTCAATCCTTCCTGACTGGAGTTTTTTACTGGGGATTAGGAACTTAAAATTCGTTGAGAGGTGAACTATACAACAGATGATTGTTTGGACGCTTCAAATTTAATGGCGAAAATCTGCGGGTCAAGCTAGAGAAGCGCGCAACACGGCAGACGTTTAAGCCCTCGTATAAACAACGGATAATTAAGTTGATCCCGTGACAGATTTGCGCTCTAATTGCTCCGTGCTCTTGCCCCTTCCCACCCTCCCGCCTACCCCACGCCTTCGAGTATCTGCTGACCTCTTCTGGTCCCAATTACCACCACCCCCGATTTAGCGCTTGAGTAACGCCGTGGCACGGTATGAACTCGCTCTCAGTTTCGTATACGAAACGGTATACGGTATGCCTACCGTCTACAACCTACCAATTTTTAATCTCCAAAAATGAAACCAGATTTTCCTTCCACTATACGGAGAAAACAGATGGTTGAATTAGGCTCACTGACTTTTTATCCATAAATTAGTGACCAATTTTATTTTTACAAAGGGGAACAAATTGAAATCATTCCTTAAAGTTTCAAAAGAATTTCTTTCGCACAGAGAAAAAAAAAATTAGGGAAGTTATTTCGAACTGAAGTTAGGTTGCTTTCCACGTATAAAATGAAGTACAACAGGAAGTCTGCAATGTTGCAAGCCGAGATATGTGGTTTGGAAGTTACACCGTAAATATTTGACAGCGCACAGTGTGATTATTTGGGCAAGCAACTATTCGAGCTTCGGTGTGTTGCACAGTATCATTGCAAATTGAAGGCGACTTTCATTGGGCATCTATTGCATAGTTCATATGCTAGAAGCACTCAATCTCCAATTGGTCTTCAACAGAGAAATGTGAGCAATTCTACTATCTACGATTATTTATGAGAAAAGTAGAATCTTAAAACAAAGTGCCATGAACTCACGTAATAATTTGACGTAATAATTTGGCTCACTAATTTTTCATCCACAAATAATTGGCCCATTTATTTTCGGTTAGAAGGAAGAAGTAGTCGAAAATTTGTCCGTTAAAAATGGTCCATTTTTTAAAATGGAGCCTCTCTACATTTTATGAATTTGGTTTAAGTCTTGGGCAAATAGAAACCTTTCCTTGGTATTTTCGCGAGTGGTTCGGTTCGTTTTGGGTAATTTTTTCGTGACCAGGCATTGCACCTAGTAAAATGAATTCATTCTCTGGAGAAAAACAACAAAGTAGCTTTGGCTTTCGATAGAGGCTTCAGTGACTTCTCAATGTTACTTTTTCTTAATTTTCTCAATGTTAGGCATTTCATTTTTTTAGAGGAATTTTACAAGATCCACGTACTGAAAAGAGTTTTTAACCCAATAAGGCGAGAGTATTATTCAAGTATATGATTTGAGAAAGGTGATCAATACCTAAATAATCAGTAAATTAAGGGTTCGGAGTAAGCGTAATGCATTTTTTGAAGCTTAACGTACAAAATATGATTGAAGGGTTCAGTGAATAAAACTTCCGACCTATTTTGAAAAACTTCGTGTCACTTTTCTTACAACTTGAAGTTAATTCTGAGCGTTAGGTAAATCATTAACATCTACCGAGAATTCGCGAAAGGGAAACTTTTCTAACAGAATAAAATTTGAAACGGCAATTTGCATACTTGAAGGCGCACGTGATGAATCGCTCGTCGGGCGACACACTTTTCAGTCAAATCCCCTCGGAAGAGAAAGGAAGCTAATCCAAAAGCATTTCCGGACATTATTCAAATCAACCCCACGACGGAACAACAGAATCATCACTCGAATTGGACACTGACTGCGTCCATAAAGAAACCCCCGACCGAAAAGCGCCAACTTCTAATTGAACAAGTTGAAATCATTGGCGGATAAAAACGTTCGGCGGAAGTTTTTAAAAACTTCCCTCCGAAATTAACGCGCGCAAAACTTCCCAGCGACTACAACAAAATTTAAGTTCCCGGACCGGCTTTCAGATGCACCGCGCGTTGCGCAATCGCCTCCCCGAACTGCCGCGCTACGGAAGAACGCCGTATCATCATTCAAATGTTGCCAAATTTCTTCTCAGAAAATATCCATTATTGACGACATGCATAAATATTTTTCCTCAAAATTTTCAGACTTTTTAGATCAAAATTCAAACAAAATCCGGATCAAAATTGGTGGTGAAATGTTCACAAATTTTCCTACAAATTCTTGGTTTTTCGATGGAAATTTGGCAACACATGATGGCTCGTAAGGCGTTCTTCTCCAGCACGGCAGCGAAGCAACCCGGGTTTTTATTTCCGGGTGATGTGGCAAAAAGAGCGTTAATCAGCTCTACAGCTCTTTAATTACCTTCTCTCTGCGTCTGGGATCTCTTTCTCCTTATCTGTGCATAAGCTGTGAATAATTCATTTCTGCGTCTCAAAAGAAACACCTTCATTGTTCTCATTATTCATCCGCCGCGGATTGCATTCATCAGATAAAGAAAACACGGCGGAAGTAATCACGTGGTGCGGAACAGGTATTCGCGGGGGGAGAAGAGGGGGGGGGGGCTCAACCCCGGCGCGATTTGGAATATTTTCTCCGCGGGTTTCTTTCATGTAAATCCGCTGCGAACTCCCTTTCAAGCGGGGTTTCACGGCGATGAATGGCGGCCGGGCAGAGCCGGGTGAAAGGGTTTGAATTTAAATATTTCCCCCCGAAATTGATTCGATACTTCCCGGTCTAAGCGCTTCCTTTTACCTGGTAGGAAAATAATAACATTCTGACGCAGTGCCGAGAGTTCCAGCGCTTGGCGAGATTGTTTTATCATGCACCTGACGTGCCCGGATTCTTGTCTGGGAAGTTCCTCGAAAAGCTTAGGTTTCAAAGAAATGCTGAATAATGGTTGGTAAAGCATAGAGGAAAGAATCTGATTCCGCATCAGTATCGATTTTGGGGACTAAGTCAAAATCAAAATTTCAGTGAACTTCATCAACACGCCGAGTTCAACCATACTGTCTTCATTTGATTCAATCCCAGGGTTTCTATTTGTGGTGGATACTCTGTAATATTTTAAAATGATATTGCTTGTAAGGCTTGACGAACAATCGCCTTTTCCCATGATTTATTTCGTTTAATTTTAGTACATGGTTGATGATTGCTTCAGCAGTTTTTTCTCTTCAGCAAGTCTGCCCCTATCGAAGAAATTTTGCACTTAGATGTAATGGAAGCTCTGCTTGACCTCTCACCAACAAATCGGTGAACAGAAAAATATCTTGGTCAAAAGCGCTCGACATCCTAAAACTCAAATGATGAACGGGTACTATGGGAATTGTACCGCTGATGCACAAGGGCACCCATTCGTGGAGAATGTTATGAACAATTAATATTGGCAACGTTCCTAAGCTTTGAATTTTGATTTGATTTGAATGATGAACTCACTTAATGCCAGAAGAAGACAAATAGTACTTTTCGATTAGAGGGACTCAAAATTCAAACAGAAATTTTTATCCTCGCATTCAAGTAAATTTTCGTCAAGAAATCACACAACGTAATCCACTTGAAAAAGTAGTTTCAGGTATTATAGAATGAAAAGTTAATTGTAAAATTGTCAGTTATCATGGGATAATAATGCGTTTCCTTTGAAAGGAAGAGCTATTCAAATCGGAACACTCTGAAACGTTGAGAGGTGATCTTCTCGTACCCAACGTGGCCCAATTTTACACGAATTCAAGGAAATAACAAATACGTCATATTCCTCAAAACGCCGTAGGATACATTGCGGAAATACTTAAGGAGATTTCCGACTAGTCCTTACCTCTAGCGCAGACTATAAAGAACAGACTAAAATTCACCTGTACCCTCATACTGCCGTGCTAAGGAAAAACGCCGTATGGGCCTCCAGGCGTTGCCAAATTTCCTTTGACAAATCACTAATTTTCAAGAAAATTTTTGCATATTTTTCTTTCAAGTTCTCAGATAATTGTGTTCGCAATTTGATCTAAAAAGTCTGAAAATTTCAAGGATAAATATTAATAATATTCCTCAAAAATAGACATTTTATCGGAGGAAACTCGACAACTCTCAAATGCTCATACGGCGTTCTTCCTTAGCACGGCAGCATACAAGAATCAATAGGTACATTTCATTGTAAACAAAGTAAGGAAGAAGGAGGATTCAAACCCAAATACACCAAAAAGCAAATTTTTACCTGGAAACAGCCGAATAAAGCTCATTGAAAATATGGCTTTCCATACCCGAACACTATCTCCACTTATAGCGATCTGACAGAGAATGACAACCTTCTCGCTGTCTTGCACCAAAACCATTTTCCACTTCAATGGATAAATTGGAGCTCAAGTAGGTACAAGTACCGGAATCCTGAGAATCCAGATTCGACTCACCATGTCTATCGTGCTAAGGAAGAACGCCGTATGAACATTTGAGAGTTGCCACATTGTTCACACACAATGTTCATTTGCGAGGAAAGTTATGAATATTTTCCCTCGGAATTTTCAGGAATTTTTGGTGGGATTGCGAGCAAAATTATCTGAAAAACTGAAAGAAAACTAGAGTACCTATATAGCGAGAGTATGGACAGATCGCTTCATTTCTGGGCCCTAACTTTATTCGCGGAGGCATCGGTGAAGGCCTGATGGATTTCCGGAGTTTCACATATGTCTATACTCCCGCTATGCAGGTACTCTAAAGAAAACTATTCATAAGTTTACCGGGAAATTCGAGTTTCATCAAAGGAAAGGCAACGCCTGAAGGCTCATACGGCGTTCTTCCTTAGTGCGGCAGATGTCCGCTTATTATTCGAACGACGAGGGGCCATTAGCGAGGCTCCACACTCTACCTGAAATCCCTGAAGTGATCGGATTAAGATTGGAACTCTGCGTTTGGGTAGCTTATGACGCGGGACAAAGGGTGAAAACTACTTAACCAACCCGACGGAACGTTAAATTTGTGGGAAATCCTTACCGACGAGGACGATAGAGAGCGTTGTGAGCGTATCTTCTTCAGTACCGTTGGCTTGCCATGTATCGTTTTCTACTAAGCTCGTGCCATTGTAACCTCCAAAGATCTGAAACAGGAGGAAGAGTGGGTTTAGAAATCAGTCTTCCATAAACTAAACACATCATTGAAACACCTCGGAAAGGCGGAACAACGATAGATCTCTGATTTGAATACAATGTTTTATATAGTGAGATTTTCCCGTGATCGCTACGCGATCCATCCCAAGCCATCCATTCCAATATGCTAAAATATGAGAGTCACTTTTAATTTACAATGATTCCGTGCCAAGCACAGAAGCTCGAAGAGTTTATGCCCCGAATAATCACAATGTGTACTTTTACATAAAAAGATTCTATGAAGACATGTAAAGAGTAGTACTCAAACTGCAAAATGGATACCAAAAAACAGTCGCCTTCAATTTGCAATGATACTGTGCAACACACAGACGCTCGAATAGTTGCTTGCCCGAATAATCACATGTTGTGCGGATATCGGTGCAAATTTAAGTGAATTTTCTCCATATTACAAAGAACGTTTCTAACCTTTCTAAGGAATCCGGACAAACGTTCTCTTGTTAAAAATTAAATTTGGCGATGGCTGATTTGGCTTGGTTCCTTTCTGCTAAATACAGTCCAAATACGTCCGATAGATTCCTGATATCAAATGATTCCCAGAAAATCTAGTGACCTAACAGCTTTTTGTCAAAGTTTATCATGCAGTTGGTTTTGTTTACCAGCCGCGTGATTTGCACTGTCAGAAATAGAGTAGTAGCTGCTACATTTTTGGAGATCGTACATCAACAAGAATCATTAATCACAAGTAACATTCTTTTTTCCCCTAGCGGCCCGCAGAAATTAGTAAAAATAAGAGTGATAACTGGAAAAGTTCAAGACCCTGGAGATCTAGAGATCTTCAGCTCATAAGTGACAAATCATGAAATTTTATTAAGCAGATCCCTTTGTATTACTTGATATGATAAAAACTGAGAATCTGCAAAATGAGATTAATTATGAGCAATGATGATATAGGGCCCTTAACTTCAGAATCTTAACCTGAAAGCAGTGAAATGTCTATGAGGGCCCTAAGTTTCAACTTTAGATTCATGAATATTGAAAAGCTTTTCTGTCGTAATATAAGGTAAAACGCCGTATGAACCTTCAGGCGTTGCCAAATTTCCATTTATAAAACACGAATTTCCTGGTAAACGTATGAATAATTTTCTTCCAATTTTTCAGATAATGTTGTTTGCGATGTCAACTAAAGTTCCTGAAAAATTTAAGGTAAAATATTCATAACTTTCCTAAAAAATGAAAATTTTATTGAAGGAAATCTGACAACTCTCGAATATTCATAGGGCGTTTTTCCTTAGCATAGCAGTATTCGGGAGGCACTCGGGACACTCCACGCAGTTCCACGCTCAACGACTCTCTCCAAACAATCATGAGCTGCTTCAAAAATATTCACGGAAATCAAGTGTATAACAGCTGCAGGCACTCTCTTTCAAGTCGGAGGTGCGCCATTGACAGAAACTGTCATACGGATGAGATTCATATAGGATAAGCACACATATAGAGTGGTACTGTGTTGCCACTTCTGAATGTGAAATAGAGGTCTTGGGGGGATTCTTCACCGAACCATTTAACATTCATATATACCTACTTTTTGTGAAATTTTGCTAGAAACACAATAATGTCCTCGGTTCTTTTTAAATTCAACCTCAAGCTAAGAAAAAAAAAGCTTTTAAAATTGTGACAGTTATGGAAACCCGTCTCTGCTCTTTCAAAAAGTTCACCTTCATTTTCAATCAAACGCCTCGAGCAGAGTAAAGGCTGAATACATTAGCAAGGTTGCATGATTGTAGGCTGAAAACAGGAGGCGGATCCAGCAATTTGGCAGCACCGGATTCCCACCATTCAAACTTGCGTTAAATAATCGATTCTTATCGGAGCACCTGGCCCTTCCAAGAATCGATTTATTTCCATAGGTTTATTGAGAAAAACAATGTTGCCAAATTGCTGGATCCGCCAATGGCTGAAAAAGTTCTACCGCTGAAATGTTGAGTACTAACACAAACAAAGCGACATCTTTGCTGATCTATTCAGATCTATCTCTGCACAGAGGAGAGCTTGCAGATTACAAGCTTACTTAAATTAAATTTGGCAATGGCTGATGTGGCTTGGTTTCTTTCTGCTTAACATGGTGCAAATAAGCTGCAATCTCCGCCCGAAGGTCTAAAACTTTGACAGTTGTTTCATTTATTTAAAAGGAGCAATCAACAAGACTTCGTGCGGTAAAAACTGTCATAATTCTTCCTCCATCAAGGAGCAAATTCTTGAGAAAGAAGGCAAATTGAACCTCGACTGCTCTCTTCGTAGTAACAGTGCTTCCAATTCTTAGAACTGGTGACCGGAACTTTGGAGATTTTCCTGAATTTTTCCCGGAACTTTTGAAATTCCCGAAATGTTTCGGATCTTTCGCATTTCCCGAAACTTTCTCAGAACTTTTGAAAAAATCTAAACAGAAAACCTAAACTTTTGACGATCGTGGAGTGGGAGAAATTGGAACAAAAAAGATCCGCCGGAACTTTTGATGAACATGGAATGAGAGCACTGTAAAGTAGATTCAAACGATTGCCATATTTTAAGACAACAAAATGGAAATTGCGAGTTTTCATCCGACTATCAAATCGTTCTCTAAAAGAGTGAATCTCCAGATAAGACAGAAATATTTAGCCAATAATTAAACAATATTGTTTTGATATTTATGCAAACATTGAACCAATATTGGTTAAATATTGAACCAATGTTAAAAGCGTACTCCATATTTCCTTTTGGCAAAAATACTGTGCTTATACTTTAAAATACTGTGCCAATACTGTGAAAATATTTTTATAATATTTTGGGTAAACATATTATTTTTAAAGATACTAAATTAAGATTCTTTAAATATTTTTTGAAAAAATAATTTTGATTAAAATATTATCAAAATATCGTCATCTTGTGTAAATATTGCGACAATACCGACAATATTTGCCCAACATTGTAAAAATATTATGTCTTACCTGGGTAAAGTCAACCATAAAAAAGTGAGACATGCAACAACTCCATTCTTGACGATTTTGAAGCTTTTATACCGTAAAGAAATCGATTTGGCAACGTTGGCTTATTCAAAAATGATATATCATTGTCTCACGCTTGAAACGTCATCCCCTAGCGTAAAAGCGTACCGCAATTTTCACGTGAGCCCTGCTCTCCGTATAATTCTATGCTTTTCGAGGCTCATGCATAGATAGAGATACGTCCTTACGTCAGAGGAGCGACGAAAAGGCACTGACTGAAACGGAGAAGCGCACGAGGCATTTGGACGTATTTCTGCCGAACGGAACTAAGTGCATTATGACGTGAGCCCTGTTATGCACATATGCTTACGGGTCTCAGGGCTCATGTCTTAATGCGCATAGTTCCGTTTGACAGAAATACGTCCATTTGTATTGCGATTCTTCTTAACGTCATGTCACGGAATCCCACGTCGTCGACGTATGATAACCTTCAACGGGCGATAAGCCTGCGACGTATACATCTCTCATTTTTACCCCTTATCGCCGTTGCTCTCCGAAGGACGCTTCGGTCGCTTTGCATAACCTTACGAATTTGAATGGATCCGTGATAGTCGGACTATCTATTTGGTTCATCCTTGTCAGTTACAAGTTGTGAGTAAGCAGGTGAGAGCACCCTAAAGTTAGATCAAATCGTACTGGCATCCATAAAGTAAAGAGCATCGAAGATATGCGACGTCATGGGCAAGGTGGATTGCATTGCGCAAAAGGCACTACTAATTCTAGCTCATTTAAAAAACGAAAAAAAAGAAAAACTGCATGTGCCATAAGTTTTCCTAAGCGTTCTTGAAGAGCGCCTTAAAGTTCGATACAATCGTAGTGACATCCATAACATAAAGAGCAGCGAAGATATGACGCATTGACGTCACAATAAGCAATGTGGCTGGCACTAAGCAAAATGCACAACTAATTGGACGACATTTTGCAATAAGGAACCACTATTTGTAGCTCATTTTAGAAATAACATAAATGCCATTGGATTCTCTACGCGGAAAAGTTCTTTTATGGAAGAGCCCTAGGGATATAGTGGTTCATCTGACTTAAAACTGAATTCAACTCTGTTTGTTAGGTTACTACAAAGAGTGTTTTCCGTAAAAAACCTGCACTCCCGATTTTCGAAAAAGGTCTCCCGATAATTTTCTCCCGTATACCGAAGTTTTTTCCGTCGCGTCGCACAATGGATCGAGTCAATTAGAGAGGTCAGACATGAAATTTTTACAAAAACTGCGAAATTTGATGTTTGTCTTGTCACATTTGAAAGTTCAAGGGGTGTTTCTAGAAGCAAATTTTACGAGGAAGCCAATTGTACCAATTTTAGAACCTCAAAGTATTGTAAAAACGGAGTTATAAGCGTTTAAAGTTTCCAAAGTCTGTCCGAGCGCTCCTATAGATTCGATCGACTGTGCCTCATGGAGGTCACAAACATCATAAAATACGATATTAGGGGTTGAATGTGGCATCAAAGCAGCAAGAGTCACCCGGCCGGCGGAAAGGGTGCTTGGTCCGTTTCCATCGGTAATTAACTCCGGTGCAGTTGGCGATGGCAAAAACAATCGCATCATTATCCATTGTTGCCTCCGATCGATTAACCCCTCCACCCACGCCCTGGAGCCCTCCCTCGAAATGCAGAAACCGATGAAATCAAGATAACTTGAACCCTTCGCCCCCTCCCCTCTCCCACCCCCGCTTTATTAATTGCCGTCCAATCGAAGGCCATTGTTTGCACCTACTCTCAATACTCCGCATTAGGAGTTGAGCAGTTGAACACAGCTCTCTCACTTCGTTCTGCACTCCGTTTGTACGTGTTGGCTTAGTGCCTTATCAGTGATCTATGAGCGAGCCCTACGTACGCAAAAACGTTGGATGTATATTTATGCTAAATGAACTGTTGAGGCTAAAATTGGAATAATCGTCCTTAAACCAAGCCCCCTACGCCCCACCCCCTAAATTTT